CGAAGTGCTGGACACGGACACAGATTCCCTGCTCATGGAAATTCACATGGAAATGCATGCACCTGTATGACACCAGCGACTACACTAAATATACCCAAGATGTATTCCATCAAGAAAGCCGACGACAACGAAATCCGAAAGGCGAAAGGCATAAAAAAACACGTTGTGAAAAAACACATCAAGCACGCCAGATTCAAGGAAGACCTGTTCAAGAATAAAACGTTCAAACACCAAATGGACATGCTGAGAAGCGACGGACACAGGATATACGGACTGATAATCAACAAGACGTCGCTGTCTCCCATGGACACAAAACGATGGATTGCCATTGACGGAGTCACCACTTATGCGTACGGGCACAAACACGTATCGAATAATTGAACGCTCACGCACACATGCGTACATACATCATGAAGAAAATTTATTACAGCCCGCGCGGGTACTGGAAAGGCGCGTACACCATCCCGAAACTCGCAAAAGCCGCTCGAGTCTCGGAAGACGTTGCCAAAGCTTGGCTTGAAAAACAAGCCATCTGGCAAGTCTACCTGCCGGCGCCTCGGTACATCCCGAGAAGAAAATCTGACATTTTAAAGACGAATCGCGTTCACCAACCCGACCTCCTGTTTCACCCTCACGACAGGGTGCGACGCAAAACCTACAAGTACGCACTGACCGTTGTCGACCGAGCCAGTCGAGTTGACATGGCCTACCGTATTGCAAGTTGATCCCGGATGCTAGTTCATGGGAGCCGTGTCGCAGCTGCTGGCCAAGCACAAAGTCCAAGTGAGACGAGGTATAGCGGGAGCTCACCGTAGTCAAGCAATATTCGAGAGATTCAATCGCACCTTAGTCGAAAACCTATTCTCACACCATTACTCGCGGGATTTAATGGATCCCAAAAACAGAAACACGAAATGGGTTGTACGCTTACCTCAAGTGGTGGATGCCATCAACAATGAAGTCACCAGACTCGTGGGCAAGAGAGTCGTTGAATCCATCAAAATGAAATCTGTCGAATCATCATCGTCAGCGTCACGACGCGATGAAACAGAGAAAACATTACCGGACCGGGTCAGCGTTAGGTACTTGTACCAGCCGGGAGATAACGAGGGAGACAGCAGAAAACGCGCCACCGATCCGATATGGTCCATGAAAACGTACAACGTAGACCTGGTCGACATCAAAGACGCCGAACCGAACTTGTACTACTTGAAAGACGGACCGCCGAGAGCATTCGTCAGAGAGGAGTTGATGATCGTACCTCATGACACAGTCTCTTTTCGATCGCCCACTGTATGATAATTGTCATCATTGTGTGTGTGAATCAAAGGCCTTGATTTTTCCCGACCAACCTCATGCTCACTTAAAAGTCAATATATCAGAAACTATTTGACCGATTTTCGTCACATTTTGCATGCAACTCAGTAGTAGTATAGACAACGATAATACGAGATTAGGGCCTTGTAATTTTGTAAATTGAGCCCTTGGGAGGGCCTGGTCCCGTACAATCATTGTCTATACTACTCATGCCTTTTCTCCACAATAAATAAGTATACCTGATAACTTTCCAACAGCAATATTAACATCAATTTGTAATGAAGAACAAAATTCTGCAAACATATGAGTGCACTCATTACTTGAAATATGTCTTATATAATCAGGTATTTGTTCACTTGGCAAACGATATTTGGGAACAGTTGTAATTGGAATAGGAATCTGTATCTCATCTACAGGATTCTCTCTCTGTAGAAGAACCAAAAATATTTGTTATTGAACATAACACTGGCAAATGGTCACTTTCTGTTCTACCTTGAACAGACAAATCAATAACATCAGAGAACAAATCTGAAAAAATAATAAAGTAGTCCACTGTGCTACACATGGTGTGTGAAACAAACGTAAAATCACCCACATAATCACCATCAAATCGTCCATTTACAATATGAACAGCCATCAATTTACACATATCTAATCAGCATCTACCAAAGTTATTAACGACTGTATCACATGATTCTCTACTGCTACAGAAGTATATATCGAATCGACAGGTATATATTATGTTTCATCATCAATAATGTAATCAAATTCGTTCCCTGTCCTTGCATTAAAATCACCACTGATAATGAATTTACGGTTTTCTCCAAAGTCAAACATGATTTGACTGAGTTGGTCTTAGTGGTCACCTTTTCTATACCGTCAGACGCCTCTTTGTGGTAGACAGGAGAATGTTCAAGGTGGATGTATGCAAATAACAGGAACAGGTGGAAGAGTAACTGCTCATTTGTGCATCTGAAGAATAAAGTATGTTTTCCCACTGGCAGTAACCTCTTTCAAATAAGAAGATATTCATTTGTTTATACAAACAGCAATTCCGCCTGAAACGTTTAGCATTGCTGACAAAGATATGGTATTCATGAAAGATAGTCTGCAACTCATTTGATGAATCAGAACACATTGTTTCAAGTAAACAAAATATATCAAAATGTTTACAAAAATCTATATTTCAGAATGCTTAACTTTTGATTTAAAGCCATGTATGGTCCATGTACATATTGTGGCCATTTCATTATTTGCTGTTTTACTGCAGGCAGTATGTTGATCTACATCAGTATCCTGAGGTTACTGTATCAGTTATTGATGTAGTACAGGTGACTGAGTAGAAATGGTAGTAGGGTAATCCTGTTCCTCGGTGTTGCAAGTATTTGCATTGTGAGAGTCATTTGAATATTCAAAATATGTTTTGGATGAACTGGAGTCATGGCCGGAATCTTATTTTGGAGAGACAGTTTCTGAGATTCTGAGAGATGCGACTGGTTTGGTTTATGAGAAGCCCATCCACGCCTCTGGCCCCGGCGTCATGAAAGTGACTTAAGTCTAAAAATTGCTTAAGTCTGTCATTTTGATCTTAAGTCCAAAACATTGTCTTAAATCGGGGATCACGTACATTTTTTAGTCTTAAAAGTTAAGACTGAGATCATTTTTGTCTTAAATCCTGAGACTGCTAATTACCAGTCTTAAGTCCTTTTGATGCCGAGTTTTTTTTCAGGCGCACATTTTCATAAGGTTTGAAAAGTGAATGTTGTGCGAGATTTGCGTTCGCGTGGTCCTGGATCTGCGTACGATTATAAAATTATACAGAAATGTGGAATATTAAATGTCCTATCCGTTGGTATAAATATAAATGCAAATACCTCGGCGGTTTGAGAAATAAACACTGCTACATCATGTCCCAAATTTTGCTATGCATTAAAAACAGTATGTGCAACGATAAAAGCACTGTGCTTCGATTTTTTTAATTTGGCATCTTTACGGAAAGTGTGAGCGAAGAACTTACAGCCTGATATCTGAACGACATAAGTATATATGAAATGGGTTTATTTGCTTATCCATAACGTTATACGCTCAACATTAAAAATGACTCGCAATAAATGTCAAAAATGGGTTTTCTTCTATGACGTCAAACGACAACAGAGAGGTCATACAGGTATAAAGATAAGGGGGCATAACTCCGCTATGCTTAACACTAGGTCAATGTAACTGAGATCACTTGGTGAAAATTCGTTGTGGATACGGACGCTATATTTTCCTTATGTTTTGTTCACCGTGAACCAAACTACATGTATTCCAATACAAAGTTCCCCAATGTGAGCGGATACGTATTAGTAGTTTCACAATTTATAAGAAAACATGACAATGTACTACACGAGAAAGCACGTAAAGCTATTTGGATGGCCCTATCCGATATGTAAATTAGTTCTTAAATTCACATATTCTCCTGTTTGTGAAGATGTATTTTGACTGATTTTGCATCAGTACTAGCCATATCTTCAAATGTAATGAAATTACTGAAAAGATTACAACATTGTAGTTGACGTCATTGCTTGTTTTATGTATTTTGCGACGTCGGACATACATATTAACCAGACAATCCAGTGATTGACAGCATGAGCATCGAACTATAACTGGGATACAGTGACATGCATGAACCAAGTCAGCGAGCCAGAGCAACCGATACTCGTCTGTTACGACAAGCATAGGTTGCTGAATACCAGTTTAACCAGGATCGTCATAGGTATCCTGGTCTGGTTTCTAATATCGATCATAGATATGGTTGTTTGCCAAGGCCGCCCTGTCATAAACGGGATCATAATAGGAGTGGAAATCTCTTCCAAAGTTTGCAATTGGATTAAATAACAAACTGCACAAGTTATATTTATTACTTCTCGCACTGACCCTGAAGTTCATACATGGTGCCACCCTGAACATGTCCAGAGCGTCATGGAAAATATAGCTTTTAAACATCTTCAGAATAGGCCGATATACAGCCAAAGAGAACTTACAGGCAACAAACCTGATCTTGTTATTGATAAAACCAATGAATTTATTTATGCCGTTGAATTTTCTGTTCTTTTGTACAGCAACTTGATTGGCTAGATTCAGGAAACACATATCAAATACTAGTATGCAGACCTCACTTTTGAATTGTCTCGTTTGCATCCCAGGCACACTGTCGTCAAGCTACCCATTGTTCTCGGTGCCCTTGGTTTGGTACCTCCTGATCTCTTGGAGCAGATCAGGAAAGTGCCCGGGTATAGCTATGGCGGTGTGTGTGTATCAAAATAATGATACTTTAACCAGTGATATGCACCATCTGAGGAATACTATCCCGAATGTTGTTAAATTCATAAATACAACGTTTTATGATTTTACACCATTAACTCACACAGCAGCCTTAAGTAAAACCTCATTTCGATGGGGTATTTACTAGGCGTTTACGATAGGCATATGAAAGCAAGTGATACAATATTGACAGACATACTTCTAGTTTTGAACAGGTAATTGACCGTATATAACCTCCCCTTCTGGGTCATTATTGTGGAGGTTTCACAAACATATTCACTTGGATGAATGCATTTGGAGTGGTAAATCAGAACATATAGTTCACATTTTTCACAAAATGATGGAAGTGCATCAGCAGTAAACCATTCAGTAATACTTACCAACTGTGTTATAAATGTGATCAAAGGTTTCCTTGAAGTATAGCTTACAATGACGCTAGTAGCTACCTTTATACGGTTACTCTGCAGTTGTCATTTGTTACATTATCGAGGGAACCCGCCTCAACTGTAAATGATTCCGTCACATAACCAGTGCCATTCAACAGACAAAGGGAGAAAACACGTGACGTCCTACTTTCCAAATATACAGGGTCCGTACATAGCTTGGATTGAGCGTTGACTTCATTGAAATACACATGCATTGTATGATCTATAACTCTATTTTAATGTCCTGTAGATAGGGAACTACTCGTAGTTGTTTTGTTGACTGGTGTTCAGTTGACATAAGAGATTTCTTGCCCTCAGATTTATTTAATCTAGCATCTGCTAGATGTAGTGAACATATGTCATTCCAGCGTGTACCTATTGGTTTAAAGTATTTTGTTCTGAAATACTTGGCATCTTAACTTCTGCATTCACCCGAGTTATGCGCACCAATATTAATACATTTTCACAATGGAATGAATTTACGGAACATTAAAAACTGTTATAGTGATACACATTTCAGCTCATACATTAGCAAGTATATTTCACAGACGGCTGCAACTGTCTTTGTACACGCCCGTAAATGGGATCAAAGGCCAATATCGTTGCTATTGAAAATGTATTTCTTCTCTTTACCTTGTCGACCCGTGAAGATCCGGGGTAGAATAGGTCTTCAGCCACCCATGTGCTTGCCATAAAAAGGCGACGATGCTTGTCGTAAGAGGCGACTAACGGGATCGGGGTGGTCAGTTTAGCTGACTTGGTTGACACATGTCATCGGTTCCCAATTGCGCAGATCGATGCTCATGCTGTTGATCACTGGATTGTCTGGACCAGACTCGATTATTTACAGACCGCCGCCATATAGCTGGAATATTGTTGAGTGCGGCGTAAAACTAAACTCACTCACTCACTCACTTTACCTTGTCACGAGTAGGACGTTATGTGACCCCATTTGACCCAGAGGCATCTCTAAATTAAAATACTACTCCCAAAGGTTACAGATTCTTGACCACTATTGAATACATTGTTTAACAATAGGTAATTTCCATATTATAACCAGTATTTGATGTATTCAACATGTTTTCTTTTCATTGTCGCGTATGCTGTTGAGTAATCTCGGCTATTTAATGAGATTACAACTCCTTCTTAACTACTGTAATTACTAACAATAAAAATTGTTAAAAGTGATGTTAGATATTGTTACTCAGTGGATCAATGTGCTATCGATATTCATTTTCAACTTCTGGGGAGTATGCAACTCAAGTTGCCTTGGCGGCGCTAAAATGTTAACAGTCCAATCCAATTCATCCGAATAAGTACCCACTGTACAGCCGTTTGAGCAGAGGATGAAACAGGACACTAACATAAGGTGAACAGGTGTGTTACATATGCTTGTATTCGCACACATTAACTACCTTGTGCTACCCATTTGCTACATAATTCATTTCTCCAATATAAAGTTTCCCGGGGTTTTGTTCAGTGTATCAGCTCTGTACACAGGGTTAGCAAGAATGGTTTATTCGTCAGTGTTGAGAGGGTGACTCTGCTTTTACGCCATAACAGGCACAATTCGATAAAGGACAGCCAACACTAGACACAAAGTCATGTCAGTCGTTAGTAAGTGAGGCAGCGGATGAGTCAGTATGTCTTTTATCATGCACAAAACGATGGACAGCCTGTAAAATTTGGCCCGACCCTAATTTTCTTATGCAGCTGCCGGCATTCCAAGAAACATTGAACAGAAAATCAGAAAAAAATAAAAATAACATCAGTCCTAACCATTTTTTTTTTAAAAAGTGATGATTAACAAGAAATGTATTTTACGTGGCTTAACTATCGTTTCAATCCAATTTATTTAACCCCTGTGTTGTGATGCATGCCAAGGATGCCAAGTTCACAAACACCATGTTGGTTGGTTGGTTGGATGTTGTATAACGCTGCACTCAGCAATAGTCCAGCTATATGGCGGCGGTCTATAATTAATCGAGTGTGGACCAGACAATCCAGTGATCAACAGCATGATCATATTTCTACACAATTGGGATACGATGACATATGTCAACAAAGTCGATCCCGTTATTCGGCTCTTACGATAAGCATGGATGACTGAAGGCTAATTCTAACCCGAATCTTCGCGTGTTGAACTCTCCATGTACGGGCCGTGTGTGAACCATTCATAGACATGTGTTGTGTTTTATATATCAATAAGTAATGTGACATGATACCTAATGCAGTGATATTTATTGTCACTCAAAACTTTCTAATAAAACGAGCCTATCCAAATAGATGCACCTTGCAAGTCACAATGTTGTCAGTCGATCTCTTACCGCTTATAGCGAGAGATGCTGTATACAATACTCTAAGTGTGATAAAAATGGACATGTATTCTGAAAGTAATATACAGCCTGAATTTTTGCCAACTCTAGCCAATCAAAACATGTGATAGCATGACAACGAAATATGCATTTCATTCATGTCTTTTTGGACGGATCAAGCCCCTCAATCTCTAATGTCTTGTGAACTTTCCATTCTGACGTAAAGCAGGATCGGCTGTATGCTCTGTCTGTTTTGCATTCTTGATTTTGACTTCTATTGCCGAGGTTGTATTAAAATGACTCCCTAACTAACATTTTACAAATGCCATGTGATTTTTGCTGCTTGACTTGTCTCCAGGTCACAGAAATAGTCTCACATTACACTGGCTTCCCATATCAGACAGAATCCAATACAAACTCAACCTGTTTGATTTCAAGTGTCGCAGTAACCTAGCTCCAAAGTATCTGTCTGTTAAGGGCAATTAACAATCTAAAGATTTGCAAATCTAAACTGAAGACATACTTTTATAAGAAAACATACAGTGTCTAACTTTTCATTCTGGAGTTGTTCCTACTTTTGGACTGGCAGTGGTGCTTTATAAATCTTCTTATGGTGGTGATGACGTTTTAGTTAGCAATACTAACCTAATATTAGTTCATTCATCTGATCAATGTTGTTTTTGTTTTTGTTTGGGTATATTGTTATTATTTGTTATGACCCAGTCATGCACAAAGACAAGAGAAATCTAAAGAGAGATCATCGCCTATTTTAATCAATGATATAAATATAGGATGAGAAGACATTCTGCGCTGTTCATATGATGTAGCGGTAGTGAGACAACATTCTGACTGAAAACTGCCTGTGGAATGTTGTTCTAAATGTCAACAAAGATTGGCTGGTCCTGTTTCTGTCCTGAGCCATAGACCACAAACTACAATTTTCAGTACCTTGTCAACAAGAGCAAGTCCCATTATCGTAGTTATTAATGTCAGTGGGTTCATTAGAAATATGCAAATGCCGCTAACTGAACCATGGACTGTTGAATCAAAAGCAAATGAACAATCTACAAATAGAGCATTTAAACCTTCCCCATTTCCTTTGATAAATACAATTGAATCACTGATTGTATAATAATATATTGTCCGTGGAATGCCTTGTGATTCCACAACTTTATCACAGGCATAAGTCCAGAATCCAAGACGTATACTAAGATAAGATCCATATACTTGAGTGAGTGAGTGAATTTACATTTTACATCGCGTCGGCAATATCACAGACATGTAGCGATGAAAACAAGGTAATCATTCTAAAATATCTGTCGACAAAGGACTGAAAAATAGTTGGGTATATCACAGTTTTAAAATAACACCGACCTGACAATAATTACGATAAGAAGCCAGTAGATTCAATATATTCATTCTTACCTATTAAAACCAGACTATAAACCACTAACGGCCAAAGTTTGACCACCTAACAGGGGATCAAGGGGACTTACAGAGCTTTTGCTTACTACATAATTTTCCAGCAGGATTTACGCCATTCCTTTGGTTATCAGTGGCTGTAGGTCATGCTTGCCAATCTTTAAAATACTCAGGCCAGTCAAAAATCTAAAACACTAGACAATATCATGTACTTTGATCGACAATTGACTTCTGCTTCACTGGAAGAAGGAGAATATTTTACACTACTTTAACCATCTTATTGTCACCACCATCTATGTTCTCAGTTGGGCATAATATCAATCCAACTTAAAACACATATCGATTTCAAAATTTATCTATCAGTTCAATTTCTCTTAAATATCCAAGAATATATATAAAATGAGCACTGACATTACTAAAATGATCCTTTAGACTAGTGGAATGATAATATAGATCCCTTGTGAGAGCGAAATCTACACACCATATACTTAAAGATACTTATAATTCAATTCGTTCCTGGCGTTTTGCCAGAAAATGCCAATGATTTATATATACCTGCCTCATTCATATACCTTCTACATTATATATCACCCAGCCTGACTATTTTGGGAACTGAATGACAACAAATGGTTATATGTTAATATACGTTCAATAGATCTATGAGTCGCTTGTTAGAGAGTGAGCCTGCAAAGGATGGAGAATGGGCTTGAGACCCCAGTTTTTATGGGTATAAGCTATACAGTAAGATCCGGAATTCTTGCTGAATGTTTGAAACGTGTTGTAATGGTGTGCCACTATAAGTCATTATTTCATATGTTGACAAAATTGGCAACCACGTACTAATACAACAATTACCTTTGAGGCTGAATACTTTCCTATATACGACAACAGCGGATACGCCTGTTACTATATGTTATGAATGTCATTCTAAATGCACGGTTACTACAAGTCTTAGAGGTACTTATGCAGCGAAACATTTCACCACACAAGCTTAAGTAAAACATAGCCTGGTCTAATGATTCTCTACTCAAAGCATTACAGTACACTTTAACATGTATAATATCAAGTTTATTTATATGCAAACATCATTCAACAGTATTCGGTATAATCATAATACCATGGAACTCCCATAAGCACATACTGACAAACATCACAGTTCATTCTAACTTATAAAGATGTGTATATCGAAGGCCGAATGTAGGTAAAACATTATTATGATGCTTCTCTCTTATCAAACACATTTCCAAACTGTTCGC